AAAATATATGATTATAATTAATGTGTGATAGTATGTTATTAATATAATAATATATTACTCTAGGTAGCAATATATAATATATTATTATCATATATAGAGTGGAGATGATTCTAGAGTTCTTTATTCAGACATCTCCCCTAACCACAGATATGCCAACTGACAATATTCAACGTGCTGAAGCACACTCCATCACTGCGTACCTCTGCTGCAGCATAAAAATTCATGGGGCTCTGTTAAGCCAGGGGAACAAATGTCTCAAAGCATTGAAGCAGCTGGTGGCCAATATATGCATGAACTAAGTTATGCATATAGATTAATAAAAATAATTACACACACACATGCACACACACATACACATCTGTTAAGGCTGGTTTTGCCTGGCATTTTGGTAGTGTGGAATGTGAGGTGACTTTAAAATGTGGTTACACGAGCTTACTCAGTGAACAGAAAGTAAACTGGCAGAAATAGGTATATGTCCTTTTTCTTTTCTTTCTTTTTTTTGCCCTCTGTAGAATAATTTTTGGAGTTCACAGGCGTTAAGATTCTAAGATCACCTAATGACACACCTGCCCTCTACCTTACAGCTTCCCTTATTTATAAAATCTGAGTATACTAATGAGATGTCGGTGGATGACAGCAATCGTATTGAAACATATTGGTTTTTTATTTGGGAGTGTATTTCTGTACTATAGAAGGATCTGGAAAATATCTATGCAAAGCAAATGTTGGCACATTAGAGGAGCTGCGTGTTTTGATTTCCTGGCTGCATATGGTAAACTACACGTGCTTAGCCACACTCGTGCAACGCAGGGCAGCTTGATGTATGCTGGGATTTATTAAAATGTAAATGACAAAGCAGAGAAGAATGTTCAGGCAATGGGATTGCTCCATTGACTGAATGCTCAAGACTGTATCTATTTTTGTCCAAGCAATGGTGGCTCCTGCTGGGGAACGTCAAATGGAGCATTCCGTTGCAGGGCACAGGGTGGGGGGACTCCCTTTAAGGAAACAGAAATCTGATCATTTCATTTTTAATGTACCTTTCCCAAAGCAGTAGCTTGTCAATACTTTTTACAAGAAAATCTGATAGATTTTGACCTGTGGTTATGAGAAGACAATCGTCCTCAACTATTACTGGACCTGTAACTTCATTCATGAAAATAATGTTCCTTGTGCTTGTTTTTTTTGTGCAGGGCCTTAGCTTGTTGGAAATAAGAACATTATGTATTGAACATGAATATGCGTGACATGGCAGCGAGCACACTCAATCCAAGAGATGATTCCTGACGGGAAATTGTTATTCATCCCAGAAAAGAGAGGGCAGAGAGGTAGGTGTCTTCATGAAGAGATTGAATTTAGAAAGAATGGGAGCCTGCTGTTTTTTTTTCTCTCCATGGGGAACAAGAGAAAATGGGATTAGACAACAGCGTGAGGGAATTGGAACAGAAATACAAATTTCCCAGCTCTGTAGATGCTCAAACACCAAAAGGTGTAGCGAAGGAAGTGTGTGCACACTGGTTTGATTTTTTGATGGCTTCAGAACAATGGTTCTCAACATGTGGGTCACAACCCCTTAGGGGTCAAAGGAACCTTTCACAAGGCTCACCTAAGACCATCGGAAAACAGAGATATCTACATTATGATTCATAACAGTAACACAATAACAGTTATAGAGAAGCAATGGAAATGATCTATGTTGGGGGTCAACACAGCATGAGGAACTGTATTAAAGGACTGCAGCATTAAGAAGGTTGAGGACCACTGGGCTAGAAAACGGAAAGACACATTTCCCCGTGTGGTCTTCTTCCAGGCTGTGAAAATGGGGACCAGAGGAGAGAGCTCCAGGATGTTCTTCATCCTCCCTCACGTAAGAAGAATCTGAAAGTTGGGCACAGTGGACAGGTCACCGAGGCTCTTTTTAAAGCAGTAGTTATTTGATAATGTCAACTTTTCCCTTGGAGACAGACTGACAGATTTCACCTGTACTGAGAAGCGTTAAACAGGACGGAATGCCGTGAAATGAAATAGGCGGGGAGCAAGGACACAAGAGCACAGTGCACTCTTCCATTTTTCTCTTCCCACCGTCATTTCTGCTCTTGCAAGGCAGAGCGTCCTTCCTAGTTAAGAGTGCAGTTGAATAGAGGCACATTGATCTTTGCAAGAAAACAGTTAGACCTCCTGGAGACCTGATCTCGTGTTCCTGGAGTGTGTGTGTGTGTGTGTGTGTGTGTGTGTGTGTGTGTGTGTTATACATATGTACACATGTGGATTTTTTTAGCAAATAGAATTTATGGTGCTCATATTTGATGTTTGACTTTTAAAAATTATGATTATGTGGATACTGGTTCTTTCCTGGTTTGAAGGTAATTTTATTTCCTGGAGCAGTTTACTATAGCAAAGAGTATTTGTTAAAATTAGAAACTAATTTGGTTCATATCTGAGTCATTATCTCACTACTCTGGTCGACTCAGTGACTAAGTATTGATTTGTCTTTTGAAGTAATTTGACAAAAAAAAATAAAATGAAGATAAGTTAAACAAGTGAATTTAAATTTTCCCCTTTTGGCTCTAACCTGATATCCACTGTCAATACCAAATTCTTAGTTTTCTTAGCATTTTTTGTCTCATTTACTCATTGTACAGAAGATTGGAGGTCGGGCCTAGTGCATGCTGGGCAAGTGTCTTTACCAGTGGGTTTCTTCCATTTCTAGCCTTCCTTAATGCTTTGTTCTGAGACGATGCCTCAGTTTCCCAAGCTGAGCCTGAGCTCACTATACTCCAGGCAGTGCTTGTGTTTGCAGTTCTTCTGCTTCAGCCCCCCAGGCCTGACGTCAAAATGCCTTGCAATACCATATCCCAATAGGCCACAAGTTCTCAGCTTTATATGCCTATTCAAAGCTCTATAAGGGCTTTGAAAAGATAGAGACCTGGGAATCAGTACTCAAACACCCTAAGCAGTGACCAAGGGCAACTGAGTGTGAGAACTCATATACTGGGTACTGCTAAGTAACTGAAATGATTCCATTCATATCATTCACTATAGACGCAGCGACCACATTTGTCCTATTTCCTGTTGCTTTCCTAATATCCAGTAAGGACCTGGCCAGTATATGCCATACATGCAATAAACATGTTCCCAATAAATAATTAATATTTTAATAAAATCTGGCTAACCCTCCACTAAAATAGGGCTGGTCAAATCTATCGTCTACTTGAGTCACTGTCGTTTTGACCTCACTGACTAAGTAAAAGCTCCATTTTCTTCTTTGGTTTGCCTGGGAATGCATAAAACAAAGTCATTGGTAATCCTATTGGTAATACCACATCCTTGGAATGTGACTATGTATCCTCAAGACAAGGAGTCCTTACATACCCAAAGACATATCTCTTACATAGTAGCACCATGGCTCATGAGACAAGAGATCAGACTGCATCTTGCTAAGGATCCAGACGAGCCATGCAATCCATAGATATCGTGGGAGGACCTAACATTATGCTGTGAACAGATCCTACGTACTTTTTCAGCTAGCTTTCTATGCCAGTGCTCTGGGCATCTTTACATCCAACGAGTTAATGTCCTTTGTAGATAGTCCAGTATGTATGGTATTTCAGTCATGGGATAATTCAGAGTGTAATCATACAAGTCATGCTTTTGTGTTCATGGTTCAGATGAAAACCCCTAGTTTTAAAATCATCATTGATAGAGGGTAAAATGACCAATAAAACAGAGTGCTTATTCTCTAGAACTGGGCTGGACAGGATCCAGATCACGAGAAGTGGGCAGCCATGCTGCTTATGAAAGGGTGGGCATTGGGCACATGTAACACTCAGGACTTCAGATGTAGTCAATACAGATAAGGAACTGAAATTCATGTAATATTAATTCACCTAAGTTGAAAGGACTGCATATGCTGAATGTCTAGCATGCTGGACATGTCTAGCATAGCTTTAGGATCTCTTACAGAGAGAAGACTGATGGAGAAGCCATCAGACTCGGTGGAATGTCTAGCAAGATGCAATGAAAACATCTTGGTAATGAAGTCAGCATACGGGTGTCTATGATGGAGTCTATGATGTCTACGATGGAGTCTTCTGAAAGGAAATGGCTGCTGGGTTAAGACGTGAAGAACAGATGGTAGAATTTGAACGGGATGGTGGACAGGTAAAGACAAAAGGTTACATGCATGAAAACTGAGGAGATTAAAAGAGGAAGAGAAGACGGAGATGATGATCTGTGCCCATGATGGGAAAGATCGATGGGGATTTGATTCGAGAGAGCTCTGCTGGAGGAAGGAGCCAGGACAGCAAGTTCTCTTGGTGCCATAATATCTCAAGGCCAATGGAAATTACAAAGAGTTTTAACCCTTGGAAAATGATGTTTATGATTTAGAGAATTCTCTGAGTTCCACTCGACACTTACGCAGGGAAATCCTGGTAGGATGAGGAAGTGTTCCATATAGGAAAAGATGTTTTCTTACTTCGTTAGCGCAGGGAATGGGAAGAAGCGCACTTATCTGAATAGAAGAAGGGAGGAAAGTCAAAGGGGAATCCTGAACTCCCTGCCACGGCATGTGGAAAGGAAAGACTGAACCTGGATTTCTGACATGAATAGATGACCATTTAAAGGTGATATGGGATTATTTAGAAATTGTCTCTAACAACAATTTTTAAATCTAATTAGATATTTGGTCCTTATGGATCACAAACTAGTTTTGATTTATACATATACAAGTGACAGCTATGTGAGCTGTCTTTTCCAATAAATCAACACAAGTCACAGTTAATACAACATTTCTTTTATTGGGAGTCAAGGACCAAGGAAAGTCTCATAAAATGTCAACAAAGTCACACTTTGTGCTTGGGCTACTCGTTAACAACAAACCTGTTTTATTTATGAACTCAGTGAGAACAGTGTAAGACAGAGCCAACAAACACTTTGAAAAAATAAGACAGCGAAAACCATGATGGGACTACTTAGGACAACATCAAACAGCTAAGTAGAAAGTTACATCAGTTAAATATCCAGTTAAACCTCTATGCCTTAGCAGACCTAGCTTAACTGTCCCCTTTAAGACAAAAAAAATCACAATTTGGACATCTATGTTATGTAGATAGCTACTCTATTAATCATTGCTAAATGCCAATCAAATGTAGAGTGGAAGCAAGAATGGGATTTTTAGTTCTATCTTTTTATGTACCAAATATTTTTGAATTAGTTACATGAATAAACGAGGATTACAACACAAAATGACTAGTGGTCATTATTAACACTTAAGTAGCACTGAAACAGTCATGGATCAGCATTCACAGCATTTACAAAAGTTGAACATTGGCCAAGTGGACTGAGAAGATGTACAATGGGAAATTGAACCTGTGCAGGTGAACCAATGACTTCATGATTTGTATACATGATTCATGTATACGAAACAGTATACATACAACTGTAGCTATTTGGGACTCCTTGGTGACAGATCGTTGACAACTTCTTGACCCAAATACACTAGTTCATAGCTGTATTTCATATTGACATGAGGTGGCCAAAGAGGGGAAGGGACGAGAGAGATCTACTAGATCTGGTCTATGAGACATTTCTTGATCACATAGACAGAATACCTCCTTTGATCAAATAGAAGTGCTTGTTTCTTTGGGGCAGGGTGGAATCGTTTAAAAGCCATTGAAAGACAACTGAAGGCCTAGTTTCTGGTCCTTGCTGGGCCGCTTACAAATATGTGGTTTGTTTTGTTTTGTTTGGGCTGGTTGGAGTTTTTCTCTAAGTTACTTTTCTTACAGACTATAGATTTATGTTTTCTGTCAAAGAGATCTTGTAACAGGTATCCAAGTCAAAAGTCTCATGATGTCTGACCAAAATGCAAAGGAACTATCTAGACTTCTGGCAGACTGTCCTCCACTAAATGTTCAATTTTCTGTTGTGAAAACACATTTTTATCATTCTGGTGTAATTCACATGCAAAATCATTGAGGCCATGAGTAAGCAGAAGAGCTACTTGTTTGCACAGATAGACATTAGGGCTGTGGGAACAGTGACAGCAGTATTGGCACTGATCACCAAATTCTGGCTTCAGACTTCAGCTCGTGAGTTTTGTGACCACAGCCTTGAATGTCCATAGCTGCATGTAGCACCTCGTCCAGGCACTTAACCTCCTCAAAATCTGTGTCATCGCCTAAGAAGCGGGTATAAAGTGTGATTTTCATAGATGTCATGAAATCTCTTATGCAAAATGCTTCCTAAATGGAAGAAATTTGGTAACTAGCAGTTATGAACAAAAGTAGTTTGTTCTACATGAGTTCTACACAGGTGCCACCAGCTGCCTTCCCCCTTTGCTTGTGACAGAGAACTGGAACTTTAGTTCTAGCTTAGTTTAGGTGACATCTGGGGTAGGAGAGGGAAGATACATGTGTGCACCATCTTTATAAGACGCACAGAAAGGGGTGCTGAGTACTGGGGGGAGTCAAGTTGACATGAGTATTTGCCATCTCCAAAACTCACCCTGTGGATTTCCTATGCCATGCCCTTGCATACTATCATGTCCACTTTAAGGACTCTATTTTCTCTGACCTTCCTATTTATGCAACATTTTTTTTAACCTTCTTTAAGGTTCATTTCATATTTTCTCTTTAGGGCAACATTCTCCCTTAGGTAAATCAATTTGGCCTCTTCTGAGCACATCATCTTTTGTTTTATTTCTGCTCTTATTGTCTACTGAATCAGTTTATCACTACATTTTGGGTAGCTCGTATACCCTTGTCCAGTTTGATTTCCACCCTTGGAAGCAGTTGCTATATCTCACAGAGTCAAGCTTGCCGCTCACAGTCTGGGGACATGATGTCGTGTTTCTGTGTGGTGGCATGAGTGTCTCTGTGGGCCACCTGTGAAGACATTGTTTTGAATTTTCTATATCTCGCTCAAGAACAGATACTATATGTTGATAAAAACCAGTCTCCCCAGAAGATCCAGTCTCTTCATACGTTAACATATCTGAGCAAAGTTGCCTTTACCCAAGCAGACTAACACGCCTATCCATACTCGGATCAAAACTAGATGGCATATAAATCTGAACACAGACAGACAAATGCACACGAGGAAGGGCAAATTTATGACTCGTGAATGGTCTGGGTCTTTCTGTTTCGTTCAGAGATGACTATTGGCTGCAACTGCACCATGCCGGGGGCTGCCGGGCAGGAGGGGTATCTTCAGCTGGTCACTTGCTTTGTTTCAAAACTTCACAGCGGGCATGAGCATCCATCAAACTAGCAGTCTCTGCAGTCTCTGTTCTTTCACTTGGGAGACACTCCCGAGGAAGGAGCTATAGGACCGGCTGAAAGGAGCATCAGTACAACTAAAGAGATAACAGAACACATCACAGACAGTGATCACATTGACTGTTTAATGAAAATGAATTTGTGACCCCTTCGGGTTGATGCTATATCCAACCATGGCAGAAGGGCTACATCACTTGAACAACCCAAAGTGGCTTTCTTTCATTGTTCCCCTTGCTCAAGGACCAGTGAAGCAGTGGCCTTGTCCCAGTGTGGACAAGAGACCCTACTGAGAAGAGTGCTTCAAGTCTACCCTCACTGAAATAGGACAGAGAGGCAGAGAGCAGAAGACAACAGGACACAGGTCACCTTCAAATAAGTCCTAGGAATGAAGATAAACTAAGTTGTTGTCGGTGCCTAACTGTTTAACAGCGCAGAGTTAAGGAAGACACTGGAATTATTGGAAGTTAATTGCTGACCCCTTGAAATTATCTTGGTATTTCTAGTGCCTGGCATAGAAGTTGGCACATGGTACTTAAAGAAAAAAGAGGGATAAGGGGAAGAAAGGAGAGAAGGGGAAGAGGGCAGAGTAGTAAGAAAGAGAAAGGAAAAGAAAAGGAAAGATGTGTGAATGGAAGGAGGGAGAGGAAACAGAGGGAAGGAGGGAGAAAATAGGAGAAAAAGAAGGAGGGAGAAAGTAATGGAAGAGGCAGTAGCTCCTGGAATACTGCAGCCCACAGGAAGAAAAGTAGTCAGATATAAGCACACTAAAAATATTGAGACTGGGGAATCAAGGCTGGCTTAAAAAGGGCTCTTACAGAAAAAGAGGCAGGGCCATTTCCAGCTGGCTTTGAACTTGTCAGTTTGGAAAGTGTGTTGTGGCCAAGTGACCATTGTAGGCCCATGAAAAGAATGTTACTACAATCCAAATGAACCAAGAGGAACAAGAAACACAAAACTTAAAAGGCAATAATCCCATGGAGGAAACAAGCCACACTACAAGGAATGACAGGCAAGCGGAAGGGTTGGGGGATAGGATGTGGCCTAAAACTGAAAGACAGGAGTCTGTCTGGGTATCTTCCAAGTCAATGTTGAAGGATGTAGGTTTCTAACAGGCATGAAGAGATTCACTTCTCCCACTGGGTAGCTTTATTTTTATTTTCATTTTCTTTAATTTGACCCCTAGGCTGTTACTTTTTCCCTCACCATTCCTTTCTGAAAATGAACTCCCATCTTTAGCGTTTTCTCAATGGGGCAAGCCAGATTAGTAGTAAATACTGAGCCTGGGGTGGAGTCAGGTGTAACTTTAAAGGGCAACTGATGATGCCAACAGACTCTGGGTTCCTGGCTCTGGCCTTGCTCCTATTGCCCTCTCCCCCCTCCCCCCGTCGGGCTGGAGAACAGCTTCAATAATTCCTGAGAGCTGTAAGAACTGAGAACCTTCCTGGTCTGACCCGCTCACTTCACAGATAGGGATGTCTGAGAAGAGGGTCTTACTCGGCAGGAGCTTTGGTGAATGAGACCGACTGTGCAGGTGGCTTTAATTTAACTAAAGCCTTTGACATCCACTTCTCCATTATCCCAGACAATGGCAATGCATCAATGAGCTAGGCACACTGAATGGGAAGTACTGGGACTCATCACTGCACTAAATACCGAGTACACTGAAGATGCTGGCTCTCCAGAGGGGAGATCTAACTGGGAGACGACTTAGTTCTAAATATTGTGGATGGGCAATATATTTTATAAACAATGATATTGAGGATGGGGTGCTAAGTGTTTGGCATCCATGTAATAATTCATTTTAAGCAAATTATCATGGTATTGTATTAAGGAAGGACATTGCATTTAATACTTTTATGATTCATATAGAGAGTGAACAATGGAATGTCCAAGACTATGTGAGAAGATTAAATAAAGCATATATCTCTTGGAGTCACATAGATCCAATCCATGCAAAAATGGCTCTTACATACAATAAACACTATCAAAAGGGAGTTTGAGGAAGGCCTATGCAGCAGGCAGCATGAGGACGGGCAGATTTCGCATGTTTGTCCTGAGTTAAAAACTTCACAGATCAACTTCTTCTTTTGGTTCTATACCTACCAAATTGTACTAAGGAGTGGTCTTCTACTCAACGTAAGGGTCTCTTGGGATCCTTCTGCGATTTGAATGCAGAAGCAGAGAGTGAGACCCTCACCTTGCCTTGCTCGGCAATAATTCTCCAAATTTGTCTTGACGGTCTCATCACCTACTGCATCCAGTCCGGAGTCAGGCTGACCAGCCAAGTCACTGTGCTTTTGCCTGGGTTCTTTTTCTTAAGAAGTAGATCTTCAGGGGGCAGCTTGCTGCAGGGGACTCCTCAGTGGAGCCAACAGTAGATCTCTGGAATCACGTTGAGGCCCCCAAAGGGACCTGAGGTTAGTGCAAAAGCGGCTCAGTTACTCATCATGTGACATGCAGAATGGAGGGGAAAACAGAAAAGCAATTGTTTATTATTCTCAATGGTTTGATTACTTTGATTAAGTTGAAAACCATCATCCCCGCCTAGTGCCATTTCTTTAATTCCAACAAAGGGAATATGAGTAATATTTACTACTCTGATGTTCTCTGTGCTTCCACGTTATCCAAAGTCAGGGTAAGTGATGTCTCATCCCTTGAAATTGCTCCTGAGTAGAATGCTTTTTTTTAAGCCAGCTTATTTTTTTAATTCCTTGTTAATTAATATAAGAATAAAAGGACTTTGCAGCCTGTGTGTTTGTGTGAGAAGGAAAGCCAAAACCTAGATGTTGAGAACAAATGATCCATGAAGAACTGCAAATGTTTTGCAGAGAATTCAAGTGTCTCCAGCGACAGCCCTTAGAGGGATCATCCTTTCACCACAGCTAGGATTTTTCGCTTTCCTTCTCACACAAACACAGAGGCTGCACAGTCCTTTTATTCTTATATTATTAACAAGGAATTAAAAAAAAAAGCTGGCTTAAAAAGCATTCTACTCAGGAGCAATTTCAAGAGACGAGACAGGCCCAAGGGTGGGGGTGGGCGACAACCTCAAGTAGGCTACACGTAAAGCAACGTGCAGCTATACGCACATTAGTATAATTACAGATTGCAAATTATATCGGATGTATCTAATATCTAATTTTTTGAAAGCTGATTCCACTTGAGACTTCAATAACAGCATCAACATTTTGCAGGTGGCTCCTTCTGTGTAGTATCCAAGGGGAATTATTCTTCTAATGTGCTTATAGCCCTCCAGTTAAAACTGGAGCTCCTGCCGAAAGGACCGGTGAACAATGAACACTGAGAATAACACCTTGACAAAGGAAATGGGGAGGGGGAGTATTATCCTGGAGAACAGTTACTCTAGCTGTACGTGCTTCAAGCAAGAAGGAACTTCAGCATGCGTCATTAGAAACTGTGGGGGAGGCTACATACATGTGGAGGAAGCCAGCTGACAAGCTACGGGGTAGCCATCTACTAGATATAGAGATCAAAGAGACGTGCATCTGAGTGGCGTGCTATCCCTTTGACTGCAAACAGAAAGCCTTACACTCAATTCAGATCATCTAAGGCAGATAGATATCCAGTTCGTGTGTCTGAAGAAGATCCAGGCTCTGCTTTGAGGAACTGGCTTTTGTCCTCACAACCCTACCATGAATCAATCTCCAAAACAACTAAACTGGGTTTTGAGATCTCGGAGAAGGAAGTGTATTCTTCAAGTTGATTGGATTCTTTTCCTTGATTCTGCTTTACGGACCATTCTGCTAATTAGCTGGGGTTGCTGCTGAATTATTTAATTACCTGCACCTTTGTGCCACGAAATATGTTGTCATAGCACGCTCCACAGTGCAGTGGCTGCTCACGTTTAAGGATGCCTCTGTAGTTACTGCTGTCCTTTGTTCTGCTCAGAAATGGTTTTAGAAAAAGGGGTGGGCCCTGAAGGAGGAGCTTTGGGGTGTGTAAAATAAAATCATACATTCCTGGTGCACGTGCAGAACCGGATGCACTTATATAAATTCCATCCTCGAAATCAAGAGGCAGCTCCATTCCGAATAAGCCACGGCGCATGTCAGTGATTTCCAATGCAGCCACGAGGCTCTGAGTATACCTTGAGCATCTCCCCTAATGAATACTCACTGCAGTGCCATGGATAAGGGACGACTCTTTTTTTTTTTTTTTTAAATCAGCAAGGAATGTCTTTAACGAGGAAGAAGTAAATTATGATAATTACTCTGAATGGTCGGATCCTTGAGCATTACTAATTAGCATTTATTGCCTGGATTATAGAACAATACAAGTGAAACCAAACTGCGATTGCTCTTTTACCTTGAAGACTTGAAAAGGCAATGGATGAAGAAGTCGGCAGCCACCTCCCTGGTGCAGGCCGCAGTCAGCCCACCTCTCCACAGCCTGAAGACTCCCTCCTTGTGGCAACCCACCCATATGGTCCTCAGCCTTTCCGGCCCGTTCATCTTTTTGTGTTAGGCTCATATTTGCATGGACTATCACAGTTGCAGGAGACTGATGGCTGGAGAAACATTTTGGCTCTCATACCATCTGAGGACAATATTATCAGTTGAGAGAGCTTAGCAATAAAGAGCTGAAATGCCATGCTCCATAAAAATATGGAATTCTTTCAGAGAAATAGCTGACTTAAAAAGAGAACAAAGAACTCAGCTCTTGGTGAATAAAATTTTACACTCCTTTTCTCAAAAAAATAGCCAAGAAAAGATGATGGGTTTCTGGCATAAGGATATTTATTTATTTATTTATTTATTTATTTATTTTCCATTAGGAATCTGTGATAACATGGTTTCTGAAATTCAAAGAACAAAAATTAGATGTTGATAAACAGGCTGACAGTGCAAAATAAAATTTGGATAATTTGGCAACTGAATGTTTTAAATAATCCAGCAGGTAAAAGGAAAGAAAAAAAATTCCCTGAGCCATTTATCATTCTGCAATCCCTGCTGCTTTCCACACCCCATTATATCAAACGAGGAGAAAAGACTATGTGCAGCCAAAAAACGGGCCCTAACTACAGTCACTGGTCTTCCAAATACCTTCCATGGTTTCCCCACCCCTCTCCCGTCTAGTTTGAAAGGGTAAGTTTGTCTAAATCTGTGAGGAGATTTAATAGACTGGGGGAAGAAATTAATTCTGCCGAATGAGCAAATGCATGCGAGTTGCCCAGATGCAAATAAGACAGATAATACTTTTCTTTGCCTTTGACATGCTAGGCGGATTAGTTTAGAATGTTAAATCTGATTTTATTAGAATATATTAGCAGTGTTTTAATTAATACCAATCAAACGTTTTCTTTCCCTGGGGCTTGATATGTTCCTAACACTTTCTAAATCATCTGTTTTTCTCCCCCAGAAAAGAAGAGGGGGGAAAAAAACTACCAAAATCACCAAAGCCTTTGTTACATTCTTACGTTACCCGTATTCAATGGAAAACTGTAAACTTTTTGTATAAAGGTGTTTTGCCCAGAAAATTGGTTCCAGGTGCCAGATTTTAAAATGAATACTCTTCTCTAGCATGCTTCCTTAAAACAAAACAAAACAAAAAAAGAATTAGAGATTTGAAAATTAAGCATTTTCTATATTTTTCTCTGGGGTAAACATTGCAAAAGGGATTCAGCTGGTTCCTCTTGTTATCAGTGGGGCTTCTAAAAGCTGTTAGCTCTCCACTGTGATGGTTTGGAGCCTGCAAAAAAAAAAGGACTTAAAAAAAAGAGGTGGTAGTGTTAGTGAAGGAGTGTGTGTGTGTGTGTTTATGTGTGTGTGTTCGTGTGTGTGTTCGTGTGTGTGTTCGTGTGTGTGTGTGCATGCGCGCGCTAGCTAAAAATACAGTGAGCCACTGCGCCCTGTGAATTGTAACTGCTCCAAGGAGGTACAGAACTGCGTTCCCCTCATTATCCCTCCCTTTCTCTCCAGCTTCCTGTCCTTCTGCGCCCCGAGCTCCAGTTCCCTCGTTCTCTTTTCTTCCCCCGGTGCACCTCCAACTGCAGCTCCCCGCCTTATTTTTTTTTTTTTTTTATCTGCCAGGCTGGATTTGCGCTTTTAAAGATCAGTATCAATAATAGCCTGCTTGTTTCGGTTACACTCTCCCTTTAGAAGACAGTCCCCTCTAATTGCTGCGTCTGGGCTAGTCTAGACTGGTAGTGATTGAACCAACCACCAATTATGTTATTCATTTCACTGAACTTCGCTGATGGGCTCCATGAGGAAGAGGGGGTGTTGAGAAACCTGCCCTTGCACTGGAGCCTGCTGAAATATAAAAATCTGTTGTGTCGTCGCGAGCCCTGCTGAATGCCTGGGCCACCAGCTTTACAGTAGCACTCTGAGAACAGGGAGCCATCCACTTGAAAACATGGAAAAACCAGGAGAGCCGCCTAGTACAAACTGCAACGTTTCTGTTGAATTCTGTCCCTCGATCATTTGAACTCACAGAGAAATTACACCTACCCCGTCTTTATTGATCCATGCACACATTTCTGTCACCTCAGCTGCATACATATTTTGCCTTCAAAAAGCACCGAATGCTTGCCAGTCTTGCATTTGGGTGCTGTGATAATATACGACCCATAAGTTAAACTGATGCACTGCCATAATTTCCACATAGGTATGCATGCACATAGTGGAAATGGGGCGGGGGATCGTTAATCATTTCGTGTAAACTAATGGAAAATCTCTTACATGACTGTAAGCTTTGAAGCACATTCTATCAAAGGCTGCCAAGTAATAGTTAAATTACAGCCGAAGAAGAGGTTTCAACAAAAGACACAGCACAATTGTTGCACACTTCTCAATTCAGCGTTCCGATGCAAAATGCTTTCTTGACTACGATTTGGAATAAATGAGTAAAACTGAGATAAACCCTTACAAATAGGACGGGAGCAGCTCCCTTCGCCTTCCACTCGCGTGTGCAGTGAGGTTACAACCGTTACAAAATCTTTCAAGGATGAAAGCATTTGGAGTCTGAGTTGATTTAGGTATGTTCCAAAAATGGAGAGAAAGGTTGGGCTGAGAAGAGTAACTGTTTCAAGGAAACTGTACGCCCAAATCTTCTGCAACAAAGGGAAGGTAAGCCGTGTTCTTCATCCCCCGTGTGAGGCAGACTGAATCACTGAAATTACCCTGCCATGAAAAGTTATAATCCCAGAAAACTACAAACTAGGAAATGCTAACAATTGCCTCAAGAGAGGATCATTTTAAATGTCGTTTGGTATTTCCAATAACTTTGTCCAGTTGAATTAAAATCCGGATTAAAAAAAATCTTTCCAGCTTCTAAAGAGAGTCATAGGCATTGATTTCCCCCCAAAAGAATACAATATCAAATGCACCCAGTTATTTCTTTCATTCCATAATATTTAGAAAATCCATTCCTATTCTTATCACCTTTAAATTCACCAAGCATTACATTTTTAAAGAGGAATCACACCAAAGAGGCAGTTTATCTCCTTCCATTTTGTGTTTAAGAAATCTTGCAAAGTAACACATTATGTTATCTTTCCTAATCTCTTAATTCCCTTCCTTTGTATTGAATACGAGAGTTGAATATTTAACCTATTAATTTATTCCAAACCAGTGGTTCTAGCGTACCTATGTCAGTGAAACCACTGTTTAGCCATGTACGACACATGTGTGGACAATGCGGATATTATGTATTCTCATGCCCATTTTAATTGAGCATAATTTTGAGATTAACTGTTGAGTTTAAAAGTTGGAGGCATGGGGCATGCTGGGACTTCAGCTGAGATGTTCTGAGGTCAAGCACCAGGTACTGAGCTGTTGGTGTTACGCTCTGGTAGTACTGCGTGTTGCTCTCAAGGAATAGACCCTGCCGATGAGTTTCCACCAGCCTCAGTGTCAGCCATGTCCACAGGCATCCATAGCAGCCAGCACAGGATGCTGATAGTCTCTGTCTACTTCAACAGAAGCCAGGAGCTGCCACACTCTGGTCACCTGATCCCATCTAACAATGGAAGCCTCAGAGGTGTACTCTCAGCACTTCTGACAAACTTTCTTTTCTATTTTTTTTTCTTAAAAGACAAAAAGTTCCTTCATCGACGCACAGGCACGACTCGCAGCTCCCAAGAGCCTAACCCGTGGATTTAAACGGTAAACATCACAAGTTAGGGTCTCAGGGACTGAGGGGAGCGCAACACATTTTTTTTCCTTTCTTTCTTGAGACAAAACAAAGCAAAAGACAAGAATGACAGACAATTTTGGTGGCAGACTCGGGACTAAAATGCAGCAAACAGGTGGTCCAGTGTGGCGACAGCCTGGCTTTCTAATCCTCTTCCCTTCACAAAATTTAGAGCCATTTCTGACTCGTATAGCCCTGCAGACGCAATATATACCTGAACATGTAAATGCCGGTTACAGCAAAGAAAACTTTTATGCTTTGGGCAGAATAATTTACTAATTGGGAAATAATATGAATAGACTCAGAAATGTTTATTTCTATTTGGTTAATAAAAACAAAAAAAAATCCCCTGATCTATAATCGGGATTAAATACCTCTTCAAGGCTTTCACTAGTAACTAGCTGGAATGACTAAGGCGAAGAAAATAACCCTCTGCCTTCCCCCAGGGCAAGCATGCCACATGCAACAATCCTAAGAGATGAGGTTTGGGGGAGGCAGGAATCGGAGGTTAGAAAGGTTTTTGAACTCACCCATTTGAAGTGGAGCCGGCTGCAGAGCTTCCAGGAGCGCCATCCGGAGCCGGGGGGAGAATGTGAGCTTGCAGTGCGCTAGGCTGGGCGAGGTGTTCAATAGGACAGAGAATGGGGCGGGGAGGGAAGGCGGGGGCAGGAAGCGATACTCCAAAATCCAGAGAAGACCGTAACTCTGTGGTTTATGCTTTGACCGGGGGTGGGGGTGGGGGAGAGAAGCAGTTGGGTGGGAGTGGAGGGAGGGGCTGGGGCTGATCAAATTTGGAAAACAGTCGGTTAAAAAAATTAAAAATAAATAAATCGAGGGAGAACGAGAAAATTTCCCAAGGACTGCTTGGAATTTTTTTTTTCCCCTTTTCCTTCTTCTTTCTCTAGCATGCAGAGTTCCGCCAGTCTTGCAAAGCGGGCCCTCCTCTGCATCAGCTGCTTGGCTGAGGCCAAGGCCAAAATCACCCAGAGCGAGCACCAGCCTGTCATTTGGTAGACGCAAAGTGGGAAGGGGTGGGTGCGAGCTGGGGAGATGCTCCCCCACCCTCGCCTCCCGCTGCGGATCCTTTGAAGCCGTTGGCCAATATTTCAGAGGAATCCGAAGCATAATCCCCCTCCATCTTCACAGACAGCCACTAGTGTGGTACCTGATAGAGTCGCGTTCCCAAACCTCCTCTGCCTGGAAGCAGAGCTTGGCTTTCCTGTGCAGACTCAAAAAAAGAAAAAAAGAAAAAAAAAGGAAAAGAAAAAAGAACCGAAAGGGAGGAGAAGCCGACGGGAAGATGCTTCTTTAAAAAAAAAAAAAAAAAAAAAANNNNAAAAAAAAAAAAAAAAAAAAAAATTCTTTCCCCTCACCCCTCCTTTCTTTTATCCCAGGCCTGAGCAAAGTAGATGGCTGGCTGGGCACACAGAATAACAAAGCACCGGCCCTAAGGAAGACACTGGAGGGGGCCCTTCTACTCCGAGTTTAAAAAAAAAAAAATAAAGAGAAAGAAAGAAAAAAAGCTAACTATTTTTAATATACTTTCATATACAACTAGGCACAGTGAAGAGCTCTAGGCTCGCCTCCTCCCCACCAGAAGAGCTAGAATCATGCCAGCCACCCCCTAAACCACGTCTCCTTCCCGCGGAACAGGGTCTGTTTAGAACACCCACACACACAACTTTTTTTTCTCACCTCTGTAGGTTCTGCTCATGTACAGTCCTCTGTTCAGCTCACCGTCTCTCCTTTTTTCTCCTTTCCCTTTTCTCTCCAAAGAGCCAGTCCGTCATCATCATACCTAGCCAGTCTCTCTCTCTCTCTCTCTCTCTCTCTCTCTCTCTCTCTCTCTCTCTCTTCCCGCTCTCATATTAATAATAATAATAATAGCCCTTTCGACATAGCAGCATGAAGTGGCTGCTTTGAGAAAGCACATTTAATCTTTACTGGCTCCCCTAGGCTTCACTGAAGAAGAAGGCAAGGGGAGAAAAAAGGAGAGAGAGAGGGAAAAAGCATGTAAGGGAGGCTGCTGACGGACAGCAAGCATCAGGCACAAATCAGCGACAAGTTGAATTTTCCTAGACCACACTGCCCCCTTTCTTCTCGGCTCTCCTTGGGCTCCTGGAAAGCCCCAGTGTCTGGTTACAGGAGGCAATGGGTCTCTTTCTGCCAGCCATGGTGCAGATTCCTCACATGCCTGCTTAAACCTCTGGCAGAGTAAGGAATCGATATCCCCCCTCTAATCACCTTTAGCTCTTTGATGGCTTCCCCCCTTTTCTGAGAATCCACTTGGCTTCCCTTGCCTCTCCCCCGCCCTGCCAGGCTCCTGCATACAAAGCTCGCAACACTGTCTGTCATCTCTTGCTTCCTTCCATATCTTGGAGACAAGCCTCTTCTAATAGCCTCTCCAGCTCGCTCTCTCTGTGCTGCACCATGTCCTCCCGGACTAGCAGCTCCAGATGCACGAGACAGCTCCCTGACTACTAATGAGATCAAAAATACACCATCAGGTCAGGGGAAACTAGACATTGTACTCTACAGATTCAAATGTGTGTGTGTGTGTGTGTGCGTGTGCGTGTGTGCGCGCGTGTGTGCATGTGTGTTTTCTTTTGCTAGACCTACAGTTCAGGTAGCTCATTTTCTAAAGTGGGGGTGGGGGGAATCAAGGTGGGGATTGTGAAGAAGTGAGACCTCCGGTGATATGCGGTTCTTTGGCCAATTGTCTGGCATCCACGCACGTTCGTGAATGAGTGCAGGTGAGGCTTGTGAAATTTTCCTCTTTTTTTTTATGGACAGATAGTCAACAACGCCCAAACATTTCTTTGAAACTGTTATGTGAAAGCATAAAAGAGCAACAACTCAAGTCTATATTTAAGACACACAGACACTCTGGGCACATAATGATCACAATGCTAAAAACCTCATGCCTTTCAATGCCTGGGTTTTGTTGGTTGCCTCCGCTTGCAACGTGCACTAATTTGCCACTTACGTCCCTGGGATTTGGGAAGCTGCTCAGTCAGTCTCCACAGCTCAGCCTCACCCTTGCCTTCCACTGCTGGCTTTTTCCTCATTCCTGAAGCGTCTGTAGCCTCCCATGCCCATCAGACACACACATCCTTTATTGATCAGCGTAATGTGCCTCAATAATCATAAGCAATACTTCAGATGGCAAAAAAAAAAAAAGAGGAGAAATAAGGAGAGGGGGGAGAGAGGGTGGGAGGGAGAAACCCAAGAAAAAAGGAAGTCATCTCCGAAAGAGAGATGGGAGCGGCATGCAGGTTTTCTGTTGTCACCCATTTTAAACGCTCGCCTTCCATACAGTGTCCTCTTAAAGAAGGTACCACCCCCCAAATTAGGGTCTCTACCTATCCATAAACACAGTGGGTAGATTGCTGTCTTAACCCAGTTTTCCCAAGGAGGCTAGAATCCTGTAGACAACAGACAGCGCTGTGTTAAAATAGAATACGGGGTGCTGCAAATAGCAAGAAAGGAGGGGAAGACAGCCAAGGACGCAGGTTCCCGGCAAGTGGGTGTTTTAAAAGGTAGTTTCTTTGTGCTCCTCACAGACATTCACTGTGCTTTGTCTCTGACGGTGAGACTTCAGATGCACGGCTGGATGCCGAAGGAAGAAGACAGGAGAGAGGAAATGCAGCTATGAGATGGAAAAGCAGAGGAAGGGAAAGAGAGGAGAAGGGGAGGGAGGGACAGGAGGAAAGGAAAGGAAGAGGAAAGGGGAGAGGAGGACAAACAGGCAAAGGAGGAGAAGTAACAGAATGCTGCAGTATCTTTAACGTATTTTTTCTTATTGTCATGACTGGGAAGCAGGAAGGCATGAGCCAGGAGCTGGTGACTGGGTCACAATCTTTTTCAAATTTAGCTAATAGAATGTTTGCACTAGACTGATGAAGAAGAGAGAGAGAGAGAGAGAGAGAGAGAGAGAGAGAGAGAGAGAGACATGCTAAAATAATCAAAAAGGGTGGAGCTGTCAAAAAAAAAACTTTGACTCATTGGGTCCCTCCCTGTACCACCAAGATGAATCACTCCTAAAGAGAGTCCTCGATTGTCTCGGTGTATGCACTTGCATATATGCAGGCCAGAGAACAGGCCACTGTACCCACCTGGAAAGGAAAGATGGGGGAGAAGGAAATTCTCCTAACCTCGGTGATTTGCAATAACAGTTTTGCATGACTTCCAACACTAAGCTAATTTGTACTTGTCTGGGCTCACTCTGCTTACAAAGAAACACCAATATGTGACTTAGGAAAGTTAGACTAAGGAACACATCATTTTCTCCATACAACTCAGGCAGGTCTTTGGAGGATACTTATTTGAAGCAGTTAACACCTGACCCCAATTTCTGTGGGTAATTAGTGAGCTAGATAACCACACAAAGTGGGTAATTGTTTAGTACCCAAGGGTACGCTAGAAGTGGGTAGTGGCTTTGTTAACAAAAGCATATCTCTAATTATTGTATCTATGATGGGTGTTTTAAAAATACCAGTTACTCTATCAAGTGAACCATGATCGATAGATATGTATATGCTGTCCTCAGCAGATACATACGTGTCTTGCATCATGGTTCAGAATATTTACCTCTAATGCACAGAGAGAGAGAGAGCAGTGAAGATTAATTAGTTAACATCTGTAAGACTCTCAGAAGGTGAGACAAACTAGAGCGCTTCTCAATGCAATATTCGTATTGTTATCAGTACTCTGGCTGTGCTACCCCTGGCTGAGAGAAGCTGCTGGAGGAGATGCTATTGTTCGGCCTAGGCCTTGGTCTGATGGTAATGCAGAGACTAGCAGCGACCACAGACGTAATGACTGTGATCATGGGAAGTGGGCGAATGCCTGACTGTCTAACCCAGCTGGAAAGGAGAGGTAGGCAGGATTGAGCTGACAGCTGACTCAGGTTAGGTCTAAGGAGCTGGGCTCAGAGGTGGGGAGAGGGAGGAGCAACGAGCCCAAAGGGAATTGAATCAGCTCTACCACATCCTCCTCCTAGAGTCTTCCTATCATTCCCCTCTTTGAGGGGGTACAAATACATCCAGAAATCCCTCAAAGAAGACATCTGTGCAAGTTCTGGGTTAAACTTAGCACAATGACATCAGTTATATAGTATTTATTGTGAAGAAAAACTTGTGTATAAATCTCATATGCTGATGCAAATGCATTTTAAAATATTGCTATGTTGAGGGTAGGCACACATAGGTCAACCTCAGATATCTTTAACCCAGGATTGGGAAAGTGAGAAAGTAGCACCTTACTGCTTTTATAAATGATTCCTGGGATGAGAAGGGTGCTATTTATTTTTCCTAAGAAGGAAAAAGAAGGAGTGGGGAGAGGAGAAGGAAAAAGAGAAGGGGGAAGAGATATATATAGAGAGTCCATGCATGCTTTGGGGACCCTGATCCTGGAGATCAACTAATCATTGAAAATAATAAACAAGAATCACAACTTACTACTTTCTCTGTGAATAGCCACCTCATTGAGTCTGTCGTCTGGGTCTGAAGTCCACATCTTCAAGTAGGTTCCCCCACACTTTTTCTTTCAAAAAAGATCAACCTGGGAATCACCCTGGAGATCTGGGAGACACAAGTATGTGGGAAGAATAAAAAATAAAAATAAAAAAATAAAAAGCAGAGATGTCGTAGATGTTGTATTCCATGCAGTGGATGCTTCTAGGCAACTGGGAAGAGAGTTGACCCCATCCTTCACCAACAGGTACCACTGCTAAAATCTTTGCTGGCCAGTGCTCCCAGGACACACGCTGAGGCTGTGATTGGAGGCTAACTTTGGGGTAAATGTATTTGAAGAGCTGAGAGGAAATTTCTCCAAAAGCCATCCAAGCCAGTCTTGTGACCAGAAGCCCAGTGTTTGTCACCCCCTCTCTGAGCTCAGAACTACAAAGGCTAGCTGGCATTCTCCAACCCGCCCCGCTCCTTTCAAACCCACAGACTGTGCCAGACTTGGCCCCACCTCCCCCCTGGAACAGATTCTGTAGCCCAGCTCTACACGCTGCTGCTGCTGCAAGGAGCCCGATTTCCATTTGAATTGTCCTACCTGGCTAGTCCCTCTGTCACTGGTCCTGGTTCCTGATTCTTGGCAAGATTTCAAAGGCAGGCCCAGTCAATTGTTTTGTCTCCCACAATCTTAATCTTCAACACTTCCGGTTCCTATCCCGCTCCAACCCCTGCAAATGTAATCCTTTCAAACACAAAAATATGATCTCTTCTGCACTTTCTTGAATGTATGGACACCACTACCTCCTTTCTTTGGCCTCTCTCAATCTTGCTTAATATTTTGTTACTGGTTATTG